CAACTCCTTTTAGCAACTACTCCACAGTTGTAGTAGAATAATTACTACAGAATAATCAACTTCAGGTCACCACATCTTTGGAAGTGCAACTCAACATGCCCATAAAAGTCAAAAAGCAAAGTGCTCAATGCCAGAGATTAACATGTGTTAAGTGTTCCCTAGAGTTTAGAGTAAACTAATAACAAATTGAGAACTTCTTCAGATAAGCCTTTAAATATTTAAAGAAAAATATACGCTACACAAGCAGCTTACCATTTTACTTCCCAGCCTGTCAGCTCATCTTACCTTTAATATGTTCTTCTGAAAGTTGGGCACGGAGCTGCTCAAGTTCTAAACAATGCTTTCTTTTCATTTCCTCAATTTGTGTTATATATTTCTCTGACAGATCCATCTTCATTTTCATTAGGTCCTCCTTGTATTGAAGTGCAAGGGAAGCCCTTAAGGAATCTAATTCATGCCTGTATTGTTCTTTAAGTTGTACCTGCAAACAGGCAAGTTCTTCCTACATAAGAAACGGGTTAGAAAGACATCTTCAGCTTTGAAGAAACCATGCCGAGAATCTTTCTACGAGAGCACTACATGAATTGCACTATAATGCACCTGCTTGACACTTATATATCTGGTTTCCAAAAACCCTGCTGGTTTTGCTCCATTCCTGCCACTCCATCTGCTACTAGAGCAGTGGAGCCCCTCAAAGTACAATCATAGAATCATTTAGGTTGGAAAAGACCTTTAAGGTCATTGGAGTCCAACTGTAAACCTAACTGCAAGCCTAACACTAAACCATATCCTTAAGTGCTGTCTTAGTGTACTTCGAATAGGGACACAGGGTAAGAACAAAATAGTCTCCAAAAAATCTGTATATTAGAACCTTCTGAGTAAAAAAAAAAGTAGATATGCCCTGGAACCATGCCCAAGGCAGACTTGAGCTGTTTGAAAGTATAATGGAGGGGAAGTCCCACACACATCTGGGCAGAGGAACTCTCAACACTGAAGAGACCCACCTCTACACACCACAGAACTTAGAAGTAGTGATCTATGAATACAGTTTCATACTCAGATAGGTAACAAATAGCAACAAGAAAAAAGGCACAATGTATATACATTTCTCATTTATGACTCATATGTTTTTTGCGTGATTTACTAATGAAATTGGGCTCTTGCTGTCTTGTGTATGTCTTGTCTGCTTGTCATTTCCTCACTAAAAAAATAATATTATTTTTATAATTATTTTAAAAAATAAAAATAAAAATCTAAAGCAAAAAAAAAGGAAAATTCCCTTTTGAAACTCTTAGTCAGCTTCAAATAAGTTGAGCAAAGAAGTCAAGACCTTAAGTTACAACAAGGTACATGCAAATAGGTGCAGAAATAGAAGAGGGATCAAATTAGCATCTCCACTTGAAGACAACAGACAGCAATAAAAGGCACAATTACTACAGAAGCTATAGAGAAGAGAAACACCATGAATTCTGCACTTGTGTGGAAAAGCTTTGATAAGCTCCTTATTAGGCATGGGATAATGCAAACAGAGGGCACAAAATTACAGAACATCATGTTTCATCTGTTCTGCGAGTCTGTGAACTATTTAAAGTTGGTAATTTACAATATACTTGTCAAAAATAATTAAGCCTTAATAAGTGTCTCAAATTATCCAACTCTTTGGTAAGAGCTAAGAATCAGACATCAATTTGCATATAGGTCATGTAATGAACAGTAGAACTTTAATATATCAAAAATACTACCTGATGTTGTTCCAGCTGTTGATTTAGCTGACCAATTGCATCCCTTCTCTCTTCCTCGCCAGTCTCTTCAAAAACTGCAACAGAAGAACTGAGAAAAGGGTTTTAAAGTTCGTTACATGTGTCACAAATTAAGTTAAATGAACTTGCTGACTTATGATGTAGTACTGAAAGTAGGCACAGAGCAACTGTAACAACTGCTCAGGATTGCACACTCATGACTTGTGTCACTGTGTACAGACCACCTAATGCCCAATCCCAATGTATTTAGATGCCATCACCTTTTATATTAGGAAAAAAAAAAAGGAAGCATGCTGTTATAACATGAGATGAAAGGAAAACGAATAGATCACCTGACGTCCCCTGCTTGACCTTGACTCACTTCCAACTCTGACAGTGAATATTCCTTCAGTTCTTGCAGTCTCTGATGCAGCAAAGTTAATTCTTCTCTGTAGTTTTCTTCAGCCACTCTTAACTTCTTTTCAAAATAGTGTCTCAGTTGTTCCAATTCAGTTTCATGCTCACTTTTTCTTTGCCGAGACTGCTGTTCAGATTCTTCTTTTAAATGCTCTATTTCTTCCACCCGTGATGCACGAGCCAGGAGCTGCTCTTTTAGCTCTGGAATGGAGGCAAAACCAACACAAGTACTCAGAAGTACATATTTTTAGGCTAAGTCATTCTGTGAATATCAGCCATATTTTAGTTGAGATAGCACTAAATGTCATCCCACAAGCTACATAAGAAAATGAACTTCCGGAAGGTGAAACATTCCTTCCTCAAAAGACAGTAAAACCATGTTCTCCATTTACACTGCATTCAGAGAAACCATCCTCATGACAAGAATCAAAACTACCAGCAGACTGTTAGCCCTCCTTGTTTCCTTGTGCTTCAGGTCTGGGCTAGTGACATGCAGAGCGCTGCAATATTGTTTAATCTTCACACCTGCTTGTTGTAGCAACCAGAAGCAATAATTTAGTCAAGAACATTCAATTTGCTCCAGGGAAAACTACCCAACAAACAAAAAGAACTTTAGCACAAACTATGCAGAAAAACAAAATCACAAGAAAGAAAAAAATAAAATAAATTCTGGATTACTTTAGTGATTGTTTGGCCATTCATCATTACATCAAGCAGAGGCTAAATTAATTGAATTAAAAAGAACTATCCAACCAGAACAAAAAAAAAAAAAAAAAGGAAAAAGTGTAGAATGCAGTAGAAAACAGCAACCGAGGCTGTTCATCAAGCTACCCTCCTTTCAGGGAGTGAGGGCAATGGCCAGCATTGCAGCATATTCATGAACTCTGAGAGCTTTCTTCCCCATTAAAGAAGCAGTAACGTATCAGGAAGTGAAAAAAGCAGGGAAAAAGGACAAAAGTCATGAGACGGAAGTAAAAAAGCTTCCCAGATGGCTGAGCTTCCCAGATGACTTAAGTTAGCTGAATCTCCACAGAATAACTGGAGATCAGACCACATTTCAAGAAGAAAGAACTCTGAGAAAAGCATCTGCTTACGTTATGCAAGAAGAGAAACTTCAGAAACATTTATGGAAACAGAGGATGCCACCCAGGAAGCAACACAGCTGATTGTCACAGTGTGTTTTTATGTAGCAAACCAGAAAACACACACTTAGCATGAAGAATTCTCACAACGAACATTCAAACAGAATGAATAGGAGAAGTAAGTACATGGCTCAAGCCTGCTTCCAAAGGGAGCAGTTGCTAAGCACAGGGACCAGAGGAATCAAGTGACAGGCAGCGACTAGTAACACCACCAATGGGATAGGCAAGGGAAGTCCAATCTGGCATGGGTAGGTTTTGCCTAACCAACAAAGTCTGCCAGCACAAAATTAACCCAGAAAAGTGTTTTAAAAGTTTTGTACTGGCATGTCACTCTTGCATCAGAGCAGCAATCCCATCATCCAGCTGCTATGTTTTGAATCTACTACCACGTCCTCAAACCAATCCAAATGCACTGTCAAATGATCATTCAAGTGAAGAAGAGCTAAGTAAACCAAAACACCTTTAAGATCTCACACACTAAAACAGATATCCTCACCTGGACCACAGGCTTGCATTCTGGTCTCACCATCTCAAGCAAGATAAAGAAGAAACAGAAAGAGCCCAAAGAATGGGAACATGAGTGATTAAATACTCAGAAAGACATTTGAAAGGTTAATAAAGATTAGGGCTACAGAGAGGAAATATAAGAATTCCAGCAAATACTATAAAGTGCTATCTGCTATAATTCTGTAATATCAAAACAGAGATCTGAAAAAGTCAAGGTAAAGTCTGACTAGATAGAAAAATTATTTATTCAATTTATGACCAAAAACCCAGAAAAAAACACCCTTACAAAACCGTTATATTTCCAAAGCTATTTACAGTTATATTTTTTAGAAAATCTGAAATTGCATTTAAAACAAAAGGCAAATGTAATGTGCTTCAACTACCTCAGCAGAAGCAAAGAACGCCACCTAATGTTACAGTCTCAATACAAGGTGAACACACACATAGTCAAGGTTAACGCCACAGTCTCTAGCTTTTTTACTTTTCCAAAATTTCTTCTTTCATGTGTTATACATCTGTTAGCACACACGCATCTGAGACATGTTCTACTTCATTTCAACCAAAAATGTGTGTCATCTCCAATCACTACATTGTAAAGTTGACTGTTTTGTTTAATACACCTAAATCTTGAAACAGGTATCTTAAGATATATAAAGCATACCATGTCAGATTTCAGCCAGTCATTATTTTCCTCTCAAGCTTTAAAACTTTTTCATAAGTTTAATGCAGATACACATAAGACTAATTAAAAAAAAACAAAAAAACAAAGACCAAAACTCTTCATGTTGAATTGCTGTGCACAATGTTTTCCTTTTTGTTTTTTCCTTTTAGGCTTAGAAGATTTGTGTTTTTTTTTTTTTAAACAGAAGCATTATCATGGAAAAAGGAGGTTATTTTTAGCCTTACAGGAAAACAACATTATCATTCATTCTGATTTCAGAAGTATCACCTGAATGTTTTTATTCTTTTTTTAAAATAGAGATATCTTTAACCCAGGGCTTTTCTGTATTTAAGAATTAAAAGTCTTGCAGAAGATGGTGCATCTCCATTTTGAGCATCAATGAAAAAGCATTTTATTTAACTCACCTCAAAACTGAAAGGGAAAAAAAGTGATTTCTACCTCAAGATATAACCTAGTCACACAGTTTTAAAATATTTCTGCTTATTCTTTTTTTTTAAGCAGATTAATCTCTTAATTATCTCCAAACAAAAGAAAATATACCATAGCCACAATAAACCACTCAAAGTCATAAACTAGGTGGTAATCTTTACTGTCTATTCAATTAACAGTTTTCTCAATTGAATTCATACCTGCATCCATACTGAGTACAAATAGGAGTATGCTATTGCACCAGCCAGCATTTTCTCCATTTATTAACTACATTATACTTAATTTGACATTGCAATGAACAATGTTTGTCTTCCACTACAGTTTTCTATAGGGTGCAGGAACGGAGTGGGAAGGGAAAGGAAAACAAGAGGAATGAGCTTTTCCCCACAGCCATACCATGCTTTTTGACATTGCAGAACCAACTAGTCATCTGACACTGACTTGCCTCTCACTTCAGAAACAGATCATGCACCCAGTCACTAGGGTACAACTCACTGACCCTTCTGTGACCTACCTGTGTTTTTCTGCTACACGATTAAAAGTATTTCATGTCAATAATGTGTACTTCTATATGAAGAAGAGGCAAAACTCAAAATGCATCAGTTTTGAACATACCACTTAGCTCTTGCCGACTTGTTTGGGTACTGTCGAGCTGAGACCAAAGCTGCCTGATTTCTTCTTGTGACCGAGTCTTGAGTTCTTCATGCATGACCTGAAGTTTCTCCAGCTATGGAAGAAGACATGTTAAAAAAAAACCAAATAAACAAGAAAACCCCCACAAAACTCACCACAACCTTTTTAAAACAATTTTGTTCTAATTGCTTATTTTATATGCAACAGGCAGTTGCATGTCAGAAATAAGTGGAAACATTTAGTGACAACCAGACTCTCAGCTCCTGACCCAGGCTACCAGAGATACTGAGCAGCATTTAACTGTTAGACGCACTCCTCTAAGAGAGAGGAATTTGTTCCTGATGTCATATTTATCATCACTGGCAAAAATAAAGTATTAGCTAGATAAAAATGAAACACAAGAACCAGAAAATTAAGCATATAAGTACAGAGGAAGAAACGGCACCGAATGGCACAAAGGCAATTGCATTCAAAAGACTTTGAACCACTACAGAAAAATCAAGAGTATTCACCTACTTCATAAGATGCATTTTAGTTTTTCAATAAAATCCCTAAATACAAACAAGTCTAGTTTTTGTTACATAGAGAGTAATCAACCACTCGAAACCAGTAAAGAAATCTTATTTACCTCTTTCTGAAGATTCTGTTCTTTTTCTTGGCTTTTCATCTTCGTATCTTCTAGGAGTTGGTTATGTTCAGCCTGCAGCTGTTCTTGTAATTTTGTAATGGCTACCTGGTGTTGCTTCTCCAATTCTATACATTTTACTAAAATTAAAAATTAGTTCTGTTATACCACCATCCTGGTTACTGAGTAACCTGTACAACTTTTGTGCAACTAAAACAGAAATGCATGTCTCTACCTAGAATGGTAGCTTACAGGGAATCACAAAAATACTTGAACAGTAAATTACTTGAAAGTCAAACATTTCCACACAGTGCTTCCTAGTTCTCTGCATCCCACAGTTAGCCAAGAGGTAACCAACAGTAGTGAAAGAGGGATAAGCATCTGCTCTCTGCATACATGAACAAGCATCCTGAACTAGAAGCACACATACTTGGAACAGGGAATTTCTTCATGGCCTACAAACACAGAACTTCTCCTATGTCCTCACTCAGCAGCAGGCAGTAGAACAGGAAGGACTAGGAAAGCTCATGCCAAGTATGCTCTGCCTCCATGCTGAGCACTCTGAACCCTGTAGACTTGCTAACTGCCTCATTTGGCCAACAAATCTTGACCTGCCCAGAAAGAATCTGCAGTCAAGTGACTGCATTTCAGCCAGTGTGCTGCAAGAGATGCATGTTATCCTCACAGAACAGACTAATGATACAGGTTCAGGGAAATCTAGTAAAGCCAATGCAGGCTGGGAAGAACAAGCCATTGCTACAAACATGTCCTCACAGCAGCCAAAGGCAAGCCAAACACTGTGAAAGCATCCAGCCTTTGGCAGGTCAAAAAGGCTACTTTTCACTTCTCAGACCTGGTCTTGCTGCCTGCCAGCCAGCATCATCCAGTGCCCTTAACACTACATTTCCATTTATTTGAAGAGAGTATTATTTCCCACGTCTCTCACCTGCATAGTGCCTCAGAGGCTAGGCAACCCAACTAGCTATCTCTCTTCACTTCATGGCACACCACATCTCGTGGCTCCTTTTTATGCCATCACCGACAGCAAAGCTGACGCTACTGTGCTGGTCAACCATCTTCTCCCATGTAGTTAGCGATAGGATGAAAGGAAATGGGCTCAAGCTGCGCTAGGGGAGGTTTAGATTGGATAGTAGGAAAAATTTCTTCATGGAAAGGGTGGTCAAGAATTGGAACAGGCTGCCCAGAGAGGTGGTGGAGTCACCATCCCTGGAAGTGTTCAAAAAACGGGTAGGTGTGGCACTTTGGGACATGGTTTAGTCTAGTCTACTCTTGATTGGTTTAGTGTGGACTTGGTAGTGTAGGTTAATGGTTGGACTGGATGATCTTAAAGGTCTTTTCCAACCTAAATGATTCTATGATTCCATCTCAACAAACATGTCAGATTTTTGAGACCTACACAAACTTTTCATAGTCCTATCTCCTATCTGCACCTCAGCAAAAGACATGAACAGAGGTACCTGGCTAGGTACTCATCCAGATTTCATTTTTCAAGTTAATGAAAACTCCAATTACAGTAGTGTCAAAAATGTCACTTCCAGAACAGTATTTTAAAAGCTACTGTTCCATTAAGCTTTAACTATTCATAGTCCAAACCCGATTTTTTTGTTAGAAGTCTCTATTAATATTAATTGGAATTTTGCTTAATTCAGTAACTGCCAAAGCCAGTTTTCAGCTGGAAGCAAAACAGCACCTCCCTTTAATGTGCTTGAAGGTAAACACAGTCCATCTCATATTCTGCAGAAGTCAAAATGCAACACAGCTAACTAGGCCTTAAACAATTTTTCATTTATGTCCTGTTTTCTAGACAGTCTCATGCCATCGACCCAATTTTTAAGTTAGAGTACACAGATATATCTTGTGTTTGCTTTTTATACAGGTTCTAAAAATACTTAGTTAGTTTTGCCATTGTTCAGTAAAGACAACTGCTTCCCAGACCATGGCACTTACTTTTATACTGTTCATTCTCAAGAGAAAGAAGACCCAGCTCTGCTTTGACTTTTTCTAATTCCATTTCCAGAGTTTTCTGCAGTTCCACCATTTCAGTGTGATGCTTTTCAGACAGCTCTTCACACGTGCTTTTTAAATGCATCTCAGACTCCAATTGCCAGTCTCTTTTGAGAGTCTAAGAGAGAAAGACATGCATTATGAAAGCAAACACATTTAGTAAATTAGTAGGGTTTTTTTCCCCTCCATTTATTTGTCCTGTACAATAAATGTGTAGTAGACATGGGACTTCTACCAGCTCTAGTTTACTGAAAGGAGTCTTACTTTTTCTTGTATGAAGAACAGAATTTGTACCTCTAACGCCTGGACATGGGTCTCTTCCATTTCCAATTCTATTTTCTTTCTCTGATCAACTGTGAAATAAAATACTACTTATTAATGAATTTACATAAAATGTTATAATTAAATAACAAGTAGAAATATGGATAAGATTACCATTTTCAGCATCAAACTCAGGGCTTAAATAGGTAGGCATGCAGCAGTGTAAGGTACTGGGTTCTGTTCAAATCTGCTGCTATGCTATATCGTAGTAATGCACTTCCATTTTAGAAAATAAGCATCTAGCAGTTACAACTGCAAAGACAACCCTGAAGGTTAAGTTCAGCTTAATTAGCAAAGGAAAGTGTGCTTAAATATACAGAGAGCATGATACTAAATTAAAAAGAAACAAAAAAACCCCCAAAACCAACCAACCTAACCCCCCCGCCTTTATTCCTAAAGATATAAATTCAAATGCCTATCAATGTCATTTTAGATGCTAGTATTTCACTGCACATCACTATTAAGTGTTTGAATCATCTCTGTCTCCAGAGATACAGCAAAAGAGTAGCAGGCAGCAGCAGCAAGGAGGAAACTCTCTCCAAATCTCTTCTAAAAATGCCTAGGAAACAGACTGCAAGACAGATGCTATTATCTGCTCAATCACCACTGACACCAATGGCTTCTTCCTTCCCAGCTCCTCCCCAGATTCATTCCAACTTCTTGTTCAGCACCTTTCTTGATCTGCAAGAACCCTGTCAAGTCCCATTCTCACAGCTTCAAAGTACCATTGCCTTAGCTTACAACCTTATTTCAAGTCTTTCAGGGGGAAATACAAACTCAGAGACTAAGATGGTGCCAGCCACCCAGCTAATGGTCCAGCAGAAGAAGAAATATCATCTAAGTTACAAGACATTGTCCCAGCACTCAAGTCACTTGGGTCATTCCCAATCATCACCTTCCTGAAGAGACATGTCTTTCCTCTAGCCCTGCAGGTAACCATATCCACAACTCCCCACCAGGTCTCCTGCATCATCTGATTCCAAATTCTCCTTCTCAGCCCCTACATTCAAGCACTCATAAGTGGTTACGTTCATGTTAAGTTACATTGCCAAAATGCACATAAACAGCATTGATCTCAAGAACTGCATCCAGACCTCCTCCTTCTCCCAAATCCCACCATGCCATCTGTTCACTGTATTACTGGTGGTAACAAATGGTTTCCTACTCTCGGGTCAAAAAACCACAGCCCTACAACATTCTCTTCCTCTCAGGGAAGGACAACTAAAGGAATGGTTCCTAAACTTCTTTAGCAAATTGCTGCAGGCCTCACCTTTCTCCAGAAGTTCCTCAAGCTCTACCATACAGGTCAGAAATGGTCTCCTAATCTGGGAAGAGGCAAAGAGGCCAAGAGCACCATCAGCAGGCCTTCAGTACTATCAAGGACAACTTTCCCGTTGCTGATGTCAAAATACAATCTTGTATCAAACACATCTCAAAGGACACCCAGCTGCAGGTTCTCACTGAGCCTTTCAGTTCCTTTCCAACTCCTTTATTCTCCTTTTGAAACCACTGAGAGCGCAAGCCAGGAAGCATTTCCATATCTTGTCATAAACACAACAGTACTCAGCGCTGACTTAGGGCAATAAAAACCCTTAAGAAAGATAAGGAGCAAGAGCTCTACTCTCTGCACCAATTAAATTCTTTGAGAGCTCTGTCTAATGCCTCTTGAAAGCAACTAGTTCAGTATAATGCTATTTTACAGAAGTAGCAGCAAAACACCCACGTAGTTGAAGAAAAATTAAGCTTAGGTCTGGACAACTTCATTTTCACATATAAGACATGCACTCTTGCACATGCCAGTCTAGCTGCTGTCCCTATTCAAGGCAACACCAGCCATCACTCAAAAGGCCAGCTCTACACCAAGACAGGAACCTGTGGAGGGAAAAAAAAAAAAACAAACCCAAAAAAACAAACCTATGGATGGGGTTTCAATTTCTAGTCCCTTATTCCCAAATTTTAATACCTAGTTCTTGCCGATACTTTGACTTAAGGTCTTCTTTTTCCTTCAGACACTGTTCCTTAATCTTCTCCCACTCCAGCTGATGACGGTTTTGCAGAATTGCTACCTCTTGAGCACGCTTATCATTGAGCATCTCCCGTAGCTCCACAAGGGCAGTTTCCTTTTCTTTTCTCAGGTTCGACTGCGTAAGCTCAAGCTGGGAGGTGTGCATATTATTTAAGCTTAGGCGTAAAGCTTCCAATTCAAGGCTGTGCAGTGTCTGTAATGAAGAAGAAAAAGAGGGTTTCCCTCCCCTCTAATGAAAAGTGTTCACTTTTTTCATGACCAGTTTCAGTTTCAAGTGCTTTCAACTATTAAACACATCTAAGTTTTGCCTTTCTGTACTTGGAGGGTGTTCCTTCATGGCAGGGACAGAACCCTGAAAATAAACTGACTTTTGTTACAATGAGATTTGCATAACATTTTCAGTGCAAAGTAAAAGGCTTTCCTTACCTGTCTCTTAACTTCATCTTCTACCAAATGCCTTGCATCTGTCCACTTCCTTACAATATCATGAGAGCAGAACACAAGTTCACCCCAACCTTTCACTGTCTATTAAAAAATTCCTCGTATTTGCTATTGGTTATAATTTCTTAAAACACAAAACTCTGAAGTGGTATTGGAAAAGTGGAAATAAAATTCACAATGCCTCATTAAAAAAGTGAGGAATATCCAACAGTTAGAAATGGCAGCTAAAACAGACCAAACTTTTCAATTCTTAAATAAACTAAACAGTACCCCAACATCTTGTAATTAGACCTAACAGTAGATGTATTCTTTCCATTTGCACTTTGCATTTAGTGGAAGTGTTCAAAAACACAGTAAATATTTAGAAGAAAAAAGTTAGGTTTACATACTTAAGTTTAGCACAAAAGCATTGCTAATTACATTAGTGGGAAAATTAAAAAGTGGGAGAGGTTTAGTATGTCTTATAATTTTTAAACTAATTTTTAATTAATTTTATTAATTTTTGTTAAACTTGTCAAGATGTGAAAAATGACAAGGTTTTTGTGGTTTTTTTTTTTTTTAAACCCATCAATTTAAACATCCAGTTTTCTTCAGAATTAATGTTAAAATATAATTGCAGTGAGGATCCTGGAGAACTCCAGTAGAAAACATCTACTACCACCCACCAAGGGAACACTTCTAATTCTTCAACTGCAGTACTACATAAAAGAGCACACATAGTATGCACAAAAATCAAGGAGCCTTCTCTTTGTAACAGCCAGGTAGCCACTACAGTAATTACTGTGTTTATTTTACCTGTGATTGGAGCTGAGCTTGCTCAATCTCTGCTTTGTGTGTGGCTGTCATTTGCTGCCGAAGTTCATCCAACAGGTGCTGCTGTTCTTTATTTAGTTCAGCACGGAGCTTCTCCATTTCCTCTTCATGTTTAGTAATCAGTTCAGAGATTTCACGATCATGCTCTCGTTCATGTACCTGCAGAGAAAGAACTTTTGTCAAAGCATGGTTAGTTAGCCCCCAATTAAATTATTGAGCCAGAATTCTCCCCTCCGCCTGATGCCAAATCAAAGACACCATGGAAAAAACAATTAATATATTTTTGCATCTCTAAAATGTTGATACTGCTTAAATGACAAACACCACAAAATGAATTTATTTTTGAAATAAACCCAATTATAGCATTTACCTTTTTTATCAAAGCAATCTGTACCTTTCTTTCTTCTTCTAACTTGTGCTGGTTTTCCACTTTATCTTTTATTTCAGCATTTAGTTCTTTTATCTGAAAACAGGCATACAAACATACACAATTACTACCTTAAGCATTCTGAAATCCCAAGACTTCTGCTGTTATCAGGGTTTCCTACCTCTTTCTTATGTGTCAAACTCACTTTAGTTAATTCAGCAAGGTGTTCAGTTTCCATTTTATCGATTTCCTCTTTGTAATGTTTCACCATCTTGGACTGTGCCTCCTGCGCAGCTTGTGCAGACTGAAAGGACTCCTGCAAGTGAGCCTCAAGCTCCAAACAAACCTTCTTCAAATGGGTGATTTCTTCCGTCAGCTGGCTTTTTTCCTCACTGTATTCAGTACTTTTTGCCTTTATTTCAGCATTAAGTTTATGAATTTCTAGGTTGCTGAAGTTTAATCTGTCCTCATATCCCAGTCTTTCACACTCCTGTATTTCTTTGAGGTTTTTCACTTCAGCATTAAGTTCATGTATGTTTTTCTCAAGACCCTCAATGATGCTAGCATTCTCTGCTAGTGCTTCTTCTGCTTTTATTAGATCCTCCTCCATGTCAGATAATCTTTTTCCTAAGGCTGTTTTTTCCTTCAGTAAGAGCGCTAAATTTTGGGTTTTATTGTTGATTTCAGCTTTGAGCAACTCCTGTTCTTTTAACAATGTCTCTTCAGATACGCTTTTCTGACCAAACACCTCTGCTATTGTCTGGTTTTTAGCCTTTTGAGCATCAAGCTGGCTTTGCATTTGATCCCTTTGAGCAGCTAACTGACGTCCAAAAAGAGACTGTACTTCACTTGTTACAGAATCAGAAGCTGTTTTCTGCTCTTGAACATCTTTCACTAATTGCTCCTGAGTTTGCAGCTGCACCATCAACATTTCTCTTTCCTCGTGGAGGTCTTTTACCATTTCTTGCCAGGTAGAGGATTTTGACACTTGTGTTAAAGGCTCTACAGCACTGTAGGGTTGGCCTCCATACTCACCCTGCTGCTTTACTAGAAACATTATTTTGTTTTCAAGTTCTTTCTCCTTCTCTGTTTTTTGAAGAAGTTCTTTTTCACAATGGATCCGTGTTTCACATTCCTCATGCAGTTCCACACACACATGAGAGACCTCAGCCATTACTTTTTCCCATTTTCCAACAGATTCTTGGGTCTCCTGATAAGACTTCTTCAAGGCTGACTCCTTCTCATGGAGCTGCTCAGTTAGCTTCACACATGTCTCTACTAAACAAGTTGCCTCATCATCCTTCACATCATTGTGGCCACTTACTTTGTTTTGCTGCAGGGAGCTATCTGACAAAAATGAAACGAAGGCCTCTGCTCCCAACTCAGGCACTTCAAAAGTCTCTTGAGCCAAACCACTAGGATGCGTTTCCTCATCAAGGCCAAAGTTTAATGGAGGAGGTATAAAATCTCTGCTGGGTTCTAGAAGCACACTACTGTCTAATCCATACCTACTGCATCTACCTTCTTCAATGGCATAACCTTCAGAAGTGCTGGACGCATATGACTCTTCTGGTCTCTCCATGGAGATAAGATATTTAGCCAATATGCCTTCATCACCACTGAAAAGCCCCAGTTCTGACAAGTGTTCTTCAGAAAGGTTATCTCCTTCACTACTTGCATTACGCTCTGTGATCTCTGAATTCTTAATTTCTTCTAATTGATCCCTTGAGGAGTCTGCTCCCAAGTCATGCTCGAACTCTAGTTTTTCATGAACTAGCTCATCTTCACCTCTCAACTGATGAAGTTTATTCCACATCTCCTCAAGCTCTGCTCTCTGCAACTGCAACACCTCTGGTAAAATCTGGTTGTCCCTCGATTTTATTAGCTTTTTATTGCAGACAATCTCTTCATCATGCTTTTGCCTTACATCTATACTTTTTTCAGCCTCATGAAGTCGCTTTTCATTTAATTCCTGGATGAAAGAATTCAGTTTCTGAATCTCTTCATTCAAGGACTGTTTTTCTTGTTTATAGCGCTGGGCTTCCTTGACCTGCTCTTCTGCATCAGAAAGTTGAGACTTAAGGCCATCAGTTAAATCCTTGTATCTAGTCTCAATTTCAGACTTTTCTCTCTGGAAGTCTTCCTGCTGGTTTTCAAGTTTCCTTCTCAAATTTTCTTTATGAATTTCAGACTCACGAAGACTATTATTTAAGTCAATTATTATGCCATTCAAATTCTGAATGTGTTCTTCAGAATTTAGAGCACGGAGTTCTTTTTTTAACTGTTCAAGTTCGTTCTTATATTTTAAAATAATTTCTTCTTCATATAGCTGCTTGGCTTCTGCAATCTCTCTTCTGTGGCACTTCTCCAGCTCAGCCCTCAAGCTCTCCAGCTGTCTGCAAATATCCTTTTCATGACTGATTTTCAGTTCTTCAGTACGTTGCCATTCTTTCATTTTGGATAGAGCTATTTCATTTTTTAATTCTGTTATTTCTGAGTCCCGGAGAGAAAGGGTATCTTGTAGTACAGACAAGCTAAATCTTTCCAATGTCAGTATATCCTGAAGACTTTTAATATATTGTTCTTTTTCCCCTACGCTTTTGTACAGCTGTTGCATTGTATCTTTCATATCCTCTTCCATTTCGGAAAGCAGATTTTCTTTATCTTTGGTGTTCTTAAAAAGAAAATGTTACATATGAAATGCTCAAGGTCAGTGTTTTAATAAGGAATCTCCCAAGCAAAATATCATTAATCACTGCAGAGCACAGCACACTGCACAAACCAACACCAAGCTTTAACATGTACTGCAAAAAAAGGAACATGGTGCAGATCAGATGAACTAATATCATGACTGGCAACCGTTAACAGATTCCTTAATACACTCTGAACCAATCTGTTATTATCTCAAACCCTTCAAGCCCCATTTTGGGCAACAAAAAGGACTGTCATGATTTAACCCCAGCCAGCAGCTAAGCACCATGCAGTTGTTCACTCACTCCCCCTACCCCAATGGGATAGAGGAGAGAATCGCCAGAGTAAGAGTGAGAAAAGCTCCTGGCATGAGATAAGAACAGTTTAATAATTGAAATAAAGTAAAATGGTAATAGTAGTAGTAATAATAACAATATAATAATAATAATAATACACAAAGCAAGTGATGCACAATGCAATTGCTCACTACCTGCTGACCGATACCCAGACAGCTCCCAAGCAGTGATTGCTGCTCCCTGGCCAACTCCCCCCAGTTTATATACTGAGCATGACGTCATATGGTATGGAATAGCCCTTTGGTCAGTTTGGATCAACTATTCTGGCCGTGCCCCCTCCCAGTTTCTTGTGCACCTGGCAGAGCATGGGAAGCTGAAAAGTCCTTGACTAGCATAAGCAGTACTTAGCAACAACTAAAACATCAGTGTGTTATCAACATTCTTCTCCTACTAAATCGAAAACACAGCACTATGCCAGCTACTAGGAAGAAAATTAACTCTATCCCAGATGAAACCAGGACAATGGCTTATGGAGCAAATCCCAACAATCATCTGTAAAGTAATTTTCACTATTACCGCACATTTTGTCAATAGCAGTCAGAACTGTACATAGAAAGCAGTATTTTTTGTTCTTTTCCAAAGTCAGAATTTCATGTAGCAGAAGATTTATTTTCCAGGGCATGAGCAACACCTTCAAGATAATCCCCAGACTTCAGGAATTCCCAGTTTTTATTTTTATTTTTTTTTTAAACCCCCTTCTTATCCAGACATTTAAGACATGTAATCCCTCCTAGCACAATTCTTATCTTGCAAGCCTGAAATGCTAAGTAAACATAAATATTACTCTTTGGCATATACTACAAGGCTCCTGAGACAACAAATATACAGATGTTCAGAGAAAATAGCCAGTAGAACACACAGCATCACCAAAAAAGAATAAAGTATTTTAATTTTTTTTTTTTTTAAAGTATATCTCATTATCCAGGGATTAGATCCATGATCAACTTGTTGCTGTGAAGCAGGTTCCTATGTGTCACAGGAGCTGTCTTAACCATCTTCAGGTTATTTTAAACCTCCTTCTTTAGCCAAGTCACATTACCTCAACATAGCAAGTTTCTGTGTAACAGCCGAGCTGTTACAGTTGCCCACGCATATACTCAGAGCTTTCTTTGGCAAAGGCAAGGAAAACATGTAAGCCCGTATCATTACGGTGATTGTTGTGTATAGATCCCAAACCACTAACAATATTGGGTAAAATTCCCTAACAAGGGCTAAACTGATGGACAAAGAAGTGTAATGACCTCCCAGACATTACACAAGCAAGTAAGTGGAAAATACAGGGATATCGCCAGGACTTCTCACTAGCAACTGGAGAAAACTCTGCCTTGCCCTGAAATAATTTTCACTGCTGCGTTGCAAACTGAACTATGAAGAGCTATGCAATAAGCTCAGTATGCACATTCCAAACCTCTTCTCACTCTCTTTGTAAGGAAACAAAAATTGGAGGAGAGGCACACCTGACGTAACTGAAGTTGTAAATCATGGATCTGATCAGCTACACACGAAGCCTCCTCTTGTAGGTCATCCCGATCCTTCTTCGCCTGCTGAAGGCGGCTTGTTAGTTTCCTGATGACTTCATTCTGCTCTTGAACAGTAGTTTCCTACATGGATCACAAGAAGCACAGTTTTAAAATTAAAATGTTCTTAACATATTAGGAACCCAGTAAGTTTTCTTAAAGCAAAGCTGTTAGAGTCTATAGTTACAATTAAGTTTAAACAAACTTGCACCAAAGGACCAAACACTATGTCAGGCATGCTGAAAGAGGAACCTTACACTGATCTCAAAGAGATGACAAACCTAATCAAAAATGACTTTTTAAACAAATGATAGGATACCAGTATTGAAATAAATATTTTTACTTAAAAATTTTGTAGCTCTTATTGATGTAAAAGCAATCAAGTTTTCTACAGGATATAATGAATATTTAGCACCCCCTAAATTGTTTCCTATTTGTCAGCTCTTCTTTTCAACCATGAGAGAGAAAGCTAAAGATATGGGATACATTAATCCTATTTTATGTTAATCACATTAACCTTCTCAATTTATTTCTCACCAACAGGAAATGTCTTTGTTTCCTAGTCCTAAAAGCAGAAAACCAACATGTAAAGGGGGAAGTAACTATTCTTCAGAAGCATCTGATAATTCACCTTTACATAGAAATGCTAGAGAAAGGGAATTCGAAATATTTTTTTTTTTATTTTGGGGGAGGGGAAGGTACATGTCAGTTTAATGAAGTTTAACTTATCCTACTTAATCATTTGCCCATACAAAAAAAATGCACCCCAAAACCAAAAAGCCACAAGTGTTTACAAATATTCAAAAAGCAAGAATGATCTCTGGGGGAAAAAGTCATCAGGGTGGTGGTATCTGCCATCCTGCGTGAACAGTTGAATAGGAGCCTAGATGCATCCATGAAAAGTGGCTTTAAGGCCTATCCACAGAAACACTGACATGTCATTAAGTACTTCCTTTTCAATAGTTTGAACAATACTTGGAGGGGGGGAGGGGAGTGTTGCACCATCTTTCAGCATGACCTTGATATATAATATATAATTTTAAAGTCAGTATTTATAAAAATATGTAAGTCCCATGTTTTTACATTGAGCTCCTACCTCAATGTATGATTAACTACACTTACCTCAGTGGTTCTTGCAGGTTCTCTCTATAAAGGCCCACTCCTCAATAGTAAGAAAAGTTATAAATAAAAACTATAGCAAGTGTCCAGCCATTTCTCAGCAGAAGAGTTTAACTATGCATTTCATAAGAACTCTCTAAAAATAGAAGCATTTCAAACTTATTTTTACTCTCTCTTGATTCAAGCAATATGAAGTCCTGGACACTGGTGAATGGAAGACCTCAGCACTGCTTTTCGCAGCACATGTTAGCAAGGTGAAGTACTTTTCAATAAAAAAACCAATACTTATTTTGAGTTTTGCCTCCTAAATATTTTTAGGATTAAAATAAAGTAGTGTTAGCCCCATTATCCAATTCTATGAAACATACCTGAAGTTGCATGGAGTCACTGTGCTGGGTAAGTTGTTCCTGTAGCTTGTCCATCTGTGCAGTGAGTCTTTCAACTGCTTCCTGTTTCTCCAAAAGTCTGTTCTCTAACTCAGCTAGTTTCACCCGACACATCTTAGCATCAAGCTCACTGTATTCTGCAGCAGAATTTATTGTAACTGTCTTCATAAAAGAAACAAAAATGTATTTATTCACCAAAACAATATACCATTTCTGTTTTGTGATTACTCTGAATTCAAGCTTAAATTCTGGGAAAATTCTAGTTTAAAAGTAATTAAATGTTGGGACTTTATATAGAATGTTTGTTAATTACAAGTTGTTTATTCTTAAAAATTTCAAATAAAAAATTTTCATAGATAATATCTTTTCATATAATACTTTAAGGCACAAAAGTAAATTAGAGAGAAGAGCCTCATGATTCCGCAACACCAAATTGTGGCAAAGTGCCATTTTGACACGTGCTGGGATTTAAAATACGTTCCAACTTACAAGTGGGCAGGGAGGGAATACTACCAAAATTAAACAAAGTTTTTACATACATCTGTGCTGACTGGAGAACAGTCCACCCATAGGAAAAATAATAATGTAAAGTTCTTGACTTAACATTAAATTCAAGTGTAAGCAGCTATTGCAAATAAATATTCAACATCCCCTGAGTTTCTATGGCCTTTAACAGCAAAACAAAAAACCAAGTACAAAGAGAGAAGCTGCTCCAATCAATCCTGTGGTTTCTTAGGAGCCATACAGTTACAATCCTAACAGAGGAGAGAGTATCTTGTATTTTACTTTAAATACTTTTTGGTTTTAATGTATGAAACAAAGAATGAAACTACTTTTCAATTAAAAATATCATTCAAATTTCTCTGGACAAGGTCCATGATTTCACTAAAACCAATTTTCTTAGCAGCCAATTTCACAGCCAGTACATGTACTTACAGATAAGTACCTGTTTTAGACTGTAAAATAGTGAAATCGCATCACTTTTATCACATTTGACAATAATGCTCAATAACTAATCATTTTAGTAACCATTTATCATATTCTTCTTTCACATATATATCAGTGTCTTTTACTAAAGACACATTCTTTCACACTTACTTCAGCTGCATCATCATTCAGTACATTCCAGTTGGACAAGTCAGCACTCCCCTGGTAAGTAAACAAATAAAACAAACACTAAATTGTGGCCATTGTAAAGATACATGAGGAAAAGCTGAATTATTTTGGAAACTCCTTAAGCACATGAGCCAGAAATGTCCATGTTGCGAGACAACATACCAGTGAGAGAGAGATTGACTTTAATGCTGAACTCAGCTGGTCACCATGGTCAAATGAATGAAATAAATGCAAAAAAAAAATTGTTACAAATATCTACTCTAAAATTTAGGGCTAAGTCTCACCATTGAGATCCAATATTTCATCTTCTGCTTTTGAGGCTTGCAAATACAGCTGAGCACTCTTTAATCCACTACTAAATATTAGTAACTAACTGACAGGAGATTATGTAACAAACATGCTAAAATCATTCAGACAATTGCAACAGCAGTACTATTTTCTGATGCATATGCTTAACGTAGCTTGGTATCTTGAAAGATATTTACCTCTCACTAAATTCACAAAACAAAAATGACTGTAGCACTATTTAGAAAAGGCAGCCCATAACCCTCCCCGTATTTTGAATCTGCACAAAGTAGTTTCCAATGATTACTGGTGCCCTCTCCATGTAACCTAGAAAGCAATTCCATCTGCTTTACAAACCAGCTATTTTTGACATAAGCTCTTCAGAAGCAGTAGGTGATTTTTGTTTGGTTTTTAATTCAAGTTCATATTAATGTAATAAGGATGCCTCTGACGATGCTATGGCTGAGTGACAGAACACTGTGTGCTTTTTTCTTAGTACAGACAGCTTGGCATGTAGCTTCATAGAAGCCTTTGCAATGCTGACATTACGTTCAGGATATCCTGAAAGCACTAGGGATACCCTTACAACAGAAAGCAGGACAATACATGCAAATGGTATCCTCCTTTATTGCAGGTTTGCAAATACACTAGTTTGATGCTATTGTTATATGTTGCAAAAACACACCAAAAGCCGGAGAGCTGCTTTTTATGCAGAAGGCACTGCCTCCCCAAAACTCACAAATCTTTGCATAGACAACATGCTGAAATGCACTGGGAAACTACTTTCTAAACAAACTCCCAGACCAAGACAGATACAGTTTGTTGTAGACAGAGAGTTGCCTTGTAACTTCTGAGGCTTGTGAAAGCATTAGCCAACTGCTTCTGAAGCAAGCTGGATTCCTATAAAAAAGAATTCTTCAAAGCAACATTTTGCTTATTTTTATTATAAGACAGAATGAAAGAGAAAGCATCACATGACTATCTGATCCACAGCTGATATAAAACCAAAAATCTTGCTTGTGAGCTGAAGAAAGAAACTGCTTAATTCAAGCAGACCAGCACATCTATTAGCAGATGTCTGGTAATCTCAAGCCATATCACAAGCTATGTTTCTGTGTTTACTCACATGACTAGGAGGCTACCTCTAGAGGGTCATCAGTACAAACATACTGAAATACATCAGGCACAAGCAGAGTCACATTTTAAACAAATTTGCCAGACAATGTAACATCTATGCTGGCTTTACAACAGATACTAAAAGCACGCTGGAACAGACTATATTTTTTCAGAAAACATTAAGCACATGTGAGCCAGCAAAGCAATACGAAACCAAACCAATGCTATGCATTATAAGGTCCTGACAGTTTTGCTCATCTACTCAGTCTGGATTTGCATTTCATGGGGTCACAGCCACATAACCAGAAGTCTGCCCAAAGAAAAGTTCATGGCAGCAAAAGGTGAAAGACCTCAATTTAGCAGGCTAACAGCAGACAGCTCCTTGACAATACCAGCTGTCCAGTCCATATAACAGAGATGTTTTTTTCAGTTATTTACATGACTTTGTAAGAGAGTTAATTATTACAAGTGAAAACACATCACTTTACTTACTTCTCAATGGCAGCTAGTTGACAGTGCCAGGGAGCTAATACCCAATTAAGTAAAACAATCACCTGGAATATTTGTTATCTGCAGATGGAGTTAAGCGAAATGCAAGAAATACTAAGATTTACCTCTGTCCCTGTTGTTATGTCTAGTAGGTTGGTGTCTTCAGCCTTACTCTCTATAGCCTTACCAACATCTTGGGCCGCTAGTGCGTACTCTTCCTTTGGAACGTCATGCGTGTGGACAGACGAGCCCTTCCTCTTCGCCGTCTTTTTCTGCGACTGCGTGATGTCGCTTTTTGGTTTTCGTTGTCTGAAGTAAACAAACTGTGCAGAAAAGATTGGAAGAGGTAGAGGGAGAGGTAAGTGAGAAAAACGTAGCAGGACCACAAGATTAACACACTCATGGGTGACAAAGATCCTATCTTGATAAAATATATACATCTACAGAAAAACTGCTTTATCTTCCTACTTTCTGCACACTCAGAACATACTGGATAACTGTGCAATTAAGCAAGAAATCTCACACCAGTACTAAAGACTCATTTCAATACAAGAATCAAATTTTACTCAGTGAAACTTTGTGCGTCAATGACAATCCAGAATTATAGCATGACAGATTAGTAAAGGAATGAGTTAATACACTAGAATCACTAGGAAAAAATAATAATTGAGCAGTCTTTCTGCAAGACTAGCAAAACAATAACCCCTAGAAATGTATCTAAAACAAATCTTTGCCAGCGTAAGCTTTAAAATTAAAATTAACAGAAGTGAATCCTCATGCTCCTTCCCTGTCACCCCCTTAAGAGAATACAGCAAAACTTCCCAGCCAGAAAGCAGCCTACAGCACATAAATAGAAAATCAATTAAGCCAGGTCATTTTAATTTCTTCTGTTGAAGAATCAGATGCTCTACTTTATCAGACTATCACAGCTCTATGAAGCACCAGGGACTTGTAAAGAACGTCACTGACAGAATTTATTACCCAAGTTTCCTTAGCACCTTAAACAGCTTAAAAAGGATTATCGTATTTTCAAGTCTAGTATTGTGTTTAGGCAGCATTTCCAAGTAATGTCTTCCTCACAGCATAAATCCTGACATCCTTCTCAGAAGGAAAAAGCCCTCTCCAATGTGACAACCATGGGTTATCAAGTTCACTGTTAATATATCCTTGTGATGAGATAAAATAGATAGTCAAATCATGACAGGATGTAAACATAATTGCCAAGTTCTACCTGCAATATATATGAAAATCCACTGCTTGACAGCTTGGTTTTCCTGTAAAACAGCCACCTTGCAGAAAAATCTTGTCTGTTTATTTTCATTCAACTTGAGAAAGGACTGAACTAAATTCATTTCACCTTACACCCATGCCATTATAGCAACTTCTACCCAACTGCTTATCTACTCAACAGATACACAGTTACACATCTGCCACCCTGAACAGCCTGTTTAAAAGGTATATTTACAGAAAGACACCAGTTTCTTACCAGGACTCAAGATGTGTATGTACAAATAGCTTATTTTTCAGATTTAGTTCTGTAGTTTCCATACTTAATAATACTGAATGCAGATTAAACAAAAATTGCCAGATGCCCTGTTGCCTTTCAAAATAAGCAAAATGAACAGACCAGTAAATAAAGCTGTAGTGAGACACAAATACTATTCTCTGAAATCATGTGTTAACTCTAGCACTTACTGATGGCAATATGTCGAAAATAGCTATTGCACTAATTAACCTGATAATATGGGGAAAAGGAACAAGAGGAAACCTGCAGAAAAAATGGAGTAAAGGAAGGTGCTGAAGCAGGAAAAAAAAAAAAAGGAAAACAGGAGTAAAACAACCAGAAAAGATGAGAAAGGAAAGACAGAGAGATTGGCCATCATAGAGAGCAGTTAATGATTTCATGAAGGGAGACCAAGTACTTGACATTAAAATACCAAGACTTGCCATTACTGAACATCTAAATGAGTATGAATTTTTAAATGCACAGCTCAAAGGAAACAAAACTTATTTCTTCCCATTCATATGTATTAAACATATGAAATCACAATACGTATCACACAAAAATATCCAACTACTCCAAAATTTTACAGAACTACTGGACTTGTTGGTCCATGAAAGTGTCTGGAGTTAAAACATGCTCCAGATTCATGGAATCACTGGATGGGGAAAGTGCTAGTTAGGGCAGTACCATGTTTCCAAAGCCTTTAATCAACTACATAATTTAAGTGTCATTGTAAGGGTATCATCAGATACACAGGCAGTCATCCAACATGAAGTAGTGTCTGAATATGAAGAAAGTGTATAACACTGATCCTCCCCCATCCCAGTAAGATCCCATCAAGCCCCTTTTGAAGGGCCCAATTCTCAGTTTGCTTTCTAGCAGCATGTGCAAAGGTAAAAGTTTCACTTTTAGCCATGACATAGCACACCACAGGAACACCACAGCACTGTCCATCACAGCATCCAAAGCAGCTCTCCACACAGAAGAGCACCCAGCCCTTCTGCAGGTACCAGTATACTGCAACTTAATTTCACCAGAACCAGTCAGTTAAAAGCTGCAACTGCAAGGCACCTCTGAATTGGTATGGCCAGCACCATGCAAGCATCCCAGAAATAGAAGAACAAGCCTGCCAGGTTTTGGGTCATGTGATCCCTGTGTCATCCCCATCCCCAATTAACTGCTACACTGACATCCTTCCACCACATTATTGCAAGCTGACTGGCACCAGCGGCATGGGCCAGCAGACAGGAAAACTACAGCCCATGCTCTCCCCAGCCTCTTTCTCACATAATTTACTCCTTGACTTACATGCTTCAGAAATCAGTACCAAAGGAATACTCACAGAAAATGGAACAGAGCAGAAAACCACATCAGCACCTCATAGAAACAGATTGTTCAAATAAAACTTAGTCTACCTCCTAGATACAGTAAACATAAGCATGAGTGCTCTTAGACAAAACCCAGAAACATTTTTTAGAGCTTCCTCAAACTGATGAAGCAGGAAAACTTCCTGGAAAACATGCACTCCTTTTTGAGCTCCTACCCTGTAAAATGCAGGAACAGCAAAAACTTCTCACACATGAAGTATGGCACGTGCAGGTCTGTAACTACAGGCACAGATGGCCAACATGCATACTAGCTAATCTGAGGTGGAAAAAAAAACACCAAGGAGAAAAAAGCAGCACTGAATACTTGGGTTTTGTCCTGTTTCTCAATTACTACCTTGACTATCAATATTGCATTTATTAAAAATGGAAATCTGAAGTACCCGATACAGTCAGTACTTAGCTGCCAAATCATGACAATTTCCAATTAATATAACAGTGGGAATCATTCTTATTAGGTGATAACTTAAATGCATTTCAATAATGGAGTTTTTATTCCTATATGAAAAAGAATAATGCAAGTACGGGTTTAAAGAGGAAGATACTCCCATTACATTCCTTTCCCAAGTCATTATTTAGCAGACTAGAATTTAAGGATGCCAAAGACAAAAAAATAAGAGGGGGGGTGGGGGGGTGGAGAACCCACAGTAGTTCACACCTCCAGATTCAAGCAGTATCACACTGCAGTTAGCATGACTGCATGGGTTGCTACAAGTCAGGTTGCTACAACAGAGCAACGCACAGCTGTCCTTACAGTCCTGTCCCCTGCGGTTGTGAGCACCCTTGCAGTGATGCTGTGAGATGATTCAGGAAGCTCATCTGGATGAGCACGGAACACTTCTGTATTAGTCTGGAGATGGGATCACCTTAAGCTGCTGTAGGCCTGCACCACAGGAAGGAAATACTGTACCTGCTCACAGTTATTTCTCCCTTTCAAAACTGCATTTATATCCATGAGGAGGGCAGCACAAAGAAAACAAGAAAAAAGGAAAGAAAAAGAACAAAAAGGAGGGACACTTCCCTACTGCTCTATTATATAAGAGCTTTCAAAACCATGAGCTATCCAGAGGAAGTTTCTGAAGCAAGTTACAGTCCTGCAGCCCACCTACTCAGCAGCATGACCGTATCCTACTATGGGCTTAAGAACACGCAAAGGATTACACTGAATAAGACCAAAGGTGCATTTATTCCAGTAATTAGCCCAATATGCATCTGTTCCATAAGTTAGCTCTACAACTGCAGGTATGTAAGTAAAGACACAAAAAACAGGGCAAGCTTACAGCCATACATGCTAGAATTGGGTGTGAGCATACTAAGGAATCTGTAATTCACAAGTTTGCCTTCCAAAGCCAAACATACTAACTTTGTGTTTAATAAGCCCCAATGGATACTGCTTCCATTTGTCCAGGTGTTTTCTGAAAATTGTCTGGTGCCCATGATCTGCTAGCTAATTAATGGATCTCTGTAACATTTTAATAAGCAGAGGAAGCACTACATCCATCTCTGCCTTTCTAAACCCTTTCCTTTCCTCTCAGTATACCGGGTATATGATACCATGCAATAGCAACATTGATGGGCTGCTAACAATTTTTTTTTAAATGGTAAGATGAGAGATATTTAGCACATAATTTAAAAAAAAATAATAAATGCAACACTGGCTCTGCACACATAACTTGAAACGTAATGCAAGTCCCTACTTTTTTTTTTCCAAATGGCAAACAACAGCTGTACAACAGGTGGGAACTAATAACTTATTCAAGGCAAGTCTATCACATTTTTCTAACTATAAACAGATACTGCACTTAGAGAAGGGTTACAAAAGAAATGTTAACATAAGTCTTGCCACAGCTGATGTAACTTTTCAACCTGAAGAACTGCTGCTCTCAAAGTTTCCTCTCTTGGTATTAATCCAAAAAACTAATCACATAATCGTTCTCCAACAGGGGATTGTGTCCACACAGCACATATGAAGGCTGTGAGGGCAACCAGATGAGGAGCTGCTGAGCAGGAGCAGGGTGTGTGGCAACCATGACAGCACCGGGGCGGGATAGGCCAGGGATGGAGGAGCTGTACTGCCCACCATCAAGCTGCTTCAGCGCAGCTCCAGCCACAACCCTGCTCCCCTCCCAATAACGCTCTCTTTAATTGCCTTCTGCACAGCACTGGGAGGAGGGAGCTGCAACAGAAACACAGAAGACTGCCGAAAAGATCCGAGGCAGACAGCACAGCTGTCCCAAGCCACCTCTGAACCCACTAGCTAGGTTTCCAGACAGGTCCCCTGCAGAAAGGGCCATGCCCCTATGCCTGTGAGAGAATCACTAGGAGTGATACCAGGGGTGAAGAGGCTGCAGTACATCACTGAAAGATCTGATCTGTCCAAACCTCCCAACACCCTGTGCAGCCTCAGCTATCCCCTTGTAGCTACATTCCAGTC